AATATTACTTGTGTAAAATTTATATGTTTTTGTTACTTTCAGCTACTATAAGAAACTTAAAGATAAGATTTAAGTAACAAAAAACTTTATTTCGGGTGTCATTTTATTTATAGCGCGCACTGCTTCCTGATAAAAACCCAATAATTTCCAAAACCTAAATTATAATTTGTTATTAAGTTATGGTGAAAACCTTTGCGTATACAAAATTATAGAGTGAGCAAACATGAGACAGATAGGTTTTGAACCTTTCAAAGTTCGAGGTCGAATTGACAGTTGAAATAGTACCAAACTCCAAGCTGAAATGTGCAACTAAATCATGTATATTTTTGTCAATTTTGTTCGCTGGCTTTGTTGAATTCACTTGCAATGGCTCGACATAAGTTACAACATACAAACTGAGCAGAGCCCATGAAAGAGCTATCCATAGTCCATACCCATACAGTCATTCAGCTTCCTTGCTATTTAGAAATTGTTGTACTACAAAACTATATTGACTGAAGTTTTGGAAAAATTTAGCCAACTTTTGAAGGATTTTATTAGGTCCAGTTCACATGAGACTGGAACGAAGTCAATTAACCGGGACCATTTCGTTTTGGTCTTTAGATTATATATAATAGATGTTTACATGAGGTCTCAAGTCAATCCGCCTGCTGGACCAAGCCGACTGAGTCAGACCAGCATGAATTCAGACTGGAATGAATGTTGACATTGGAACAAGTGAACAACACATGCTAACAAAAGTCATCTAAAAAAGAAAATTGCCTGGCAAGGGGAATAAATTGAAAATTTTGTGATTTTCATACTGGTCTCATGTAAACATGTTGACATGCAATTTCAATTTTCATTCCAGGTTGGTTCCTTCCTGGTCTCATGTAAATGGGGCCTTACAAACTGTGATTCAGTATCATGGGATGAGATTAGGGGCCTGTTTATATGATCCCGGCCAGGCGGGATGGGATGCTTACCGAGATCCCGCTCGTAATACAAATGCTAAAGAGTGTTTATACGATCCCGCCACTTATCCCGCCTAGATTGGATTTCGGCAACAGAAGCCGGGATCCTGCCTAAGCGAGATGAAAAATTCCCATATAAAAAACACTTCATCCCGCCTAGCCGGGATGAAAAATTCCCATATAAACACTTCATCCCGGTTAGGCGGAATGAATTTTTCCCTTTTGGACATGCGCAAATGCCTTTATTGCAACAAAAATATGACGTCAAGCACCGAATGGTTTCATCCCGGCAATGTATTTTGTCCATATACAAACACTAGGTGAGTATCCTGTCTTGGCGGGATGAAAATGTCCCGTCCCATCTAGGCGGGATCATATAAACAGGCCCTAAGGAATTGAAAGATTTTATAAGCGAGCAATGCTCAAAAGAAAGATTATAAACAATAAAAGAAATGGCACTAACAGAGCCACAACTTCTCCAGAAGTGTAAAATTCCATGATACTGAATCACAGTTTGCAAGTCAATCCTTCAAAATTTAGTTAAATGTTTCCAAAACTTCAATCAACATAGTTTTGTAGTACACCCATCTTAAGGGTTCCTTTCAGCTTTCACCTTGCCAAGACCTGTCACTAAATAATGGGTTGCCTGAATAGATATAATTCCTCAAATCATGATTTTTAAAGTTAATTTGATAGATATTTTTAATTGCATGGATTATTGGGTCATATTTTTCTGCTATTTGGCCTTAATATTCTAGACTTTTTTTAGGAAAGGGAGTGCAAACAAGCGCATACAATAGCAATTCTTCTTCAACTATAATGGGCAACAATTTCTAAATAGCAAGGAAGCTGAATGACTGTATGGGTATGGACTATGGATAGCTCTTTCATGGGCTCTGCTCAGTTTGTATGTTGTAACTTATGTCGAGCCATTGCAAGTGAATTTAACAAAGCCAGCGAACAAAATTGACAAAAATATACACGATTTAGTTGCACATTTCAGCTTGGAGTTTGGTACTATTTCAACTGTCAATTCGACCTCGAACTTTGAAAGGTTCAAAACCTATCTGTCTCATGTTTGCTCACACTATAATTTTGAATACGCAAAGGTTTTCATCATAACTTAATAACAAATTATAATTTAGGTTTTGGAAATCATTGGGTTTTTATCAGGAAGCAGTGCGCGCTAACACTCTCGGACAACATTTCGACGGCCATTTTTAACCACCAAATTAAACAGAGTATATAAATAAAATAACACCCGAAATAAAGTTTTTTGTTACTTAAATCTTATCTTTAAGTTTCTTATAGTAGCTGAAAGTAACAAAAACATATAAATTTCACACAAGAAAAATTTTATAAAGAAATAGTTTCAGCATACCTTCTGATGGGTCATATACGCGTAGCCATAATTGTTTACAATTAGAACGTGTTATCCCCAGCGAAGCCCGCATCACGGAAGGGTCCGCTCGATGTATGGCCGGTTCTACGCCCTCTCTCCCTTCGCCCTGGCTCAAAACAAGGTTCCTCACGCTGATGATAAGATTCCTCACACTGAGGAAAAGGTTCTTCACGCTGAGGACAAGGTTCTTCACGCTGAGGATAAGGTTCCTCACCCTGAGGACAAGGTACCTCACGCTAAGGGCAAGGTTCCTCATGCTGAGAACAAGGTTCCTCATGCTGAGGACCAGGTTCCTCACGCTGAGGACAAGGCCCCCCACGCTGGGCACAAGGTTCCTCACGCTGAGGAGAAGGTTCCTCACGCTCAGAACAAGGTTCCTCACGCTGAGGACAAGGTTCCTCACACTGAGGACAAGGTTTCTCACGCTGAGGACAAGGCTCTTCACGCTGAGGACAAGGTTCCTCACGCTGACAACAAGGTTCCTCGCGCTGAGGACAAGGTTCTTCACGCCGAGGACAAGGTACCTCACGCCGAGGACAAGGTTCCTCGCGGCGAGGACAAGGTTCTTCACGCCGAGGACAAGATTCCTCAAGCTGGGGACAAGGTTCTTCACGCTGAGGACAAGGTACCTCACCCTGAGGACAAGGTTCCTCACGCTGAGAACAAGGTTCCTCATGTTGAGGAGAAGCTTCCTCAGGCTGAGGACAAGGTTCCTCACACTGAGAACAAGGTTCCTCGCGCTGAGGACAAGGTTCCTCACGCTGAGGACAAGGTTCCTCACGCTGAGGGCAAGGTTCCTCACGCTGAGAACAAGGTTCTTCACGCTGAGATCAAGGTTCCTCATGATGAAGGACATTGTTCCTTACGCTGAGGACAAGGTCTCTCACGCTGACAACAAGGTTCCTCACACTGAGGACAAGGTTCCTGACGCTGAAGAGAAGGTTCCTGACGCTGAGAACAAGGTTCCCCACACTGAGGATAGGGCTCCTCACGCTGGGGACAGGGTACTCACCCTAAGGACAAGGTTTCTCACGCTGAGGACAATGGTCCTCACGCTGAGGAAAAGGTACCTCACGCTGAGAACAGGATTCCTCATGCTTAGGACCAGTTTCCTCACGCTGAGGACAAGGTTCCTTACGCTGAGGACAAGGTCCCTCACGCTGAGAACAAGGTTCGTCACGCTAAGGAAAAGTTGCTCGCGCTGAGGACAAGGTTCCTCACGCTGAGGACAAGGTTCTTCACGCCGAGGACAAGGTTCTTCACGCTGAGGACGAGGTTCCTCACGCTGAGGGCAAGGTTCCGCATGCTGAGAAGAAGGTTCCTGACGCTGAGAACAAGGTTTTTCACGCCGGGAACAAGGTTCCTCACGCTGAGGACAAGGTTCCTCACACTGAGGACAAGGTTACTCACGCTGAGGACAAGGTTCCTCACGCTGAGGACAAGGTTCCTGACGCTGAGGACAAGGTTTATAACGCTGGGACAAGGCTTTTCACGCTGAGGACAAAGTCCCTCACGCTGAGGACAAGGTTCCTGACGCTGAGGACAAGGTTCCTGACGCTGAGGACAAGGTTCCTGACACTGAGGACAAGGTTTTCCCGCCGAGGACAAGGTTTTCCCGCCGAGGACAATGTTCTTCACGCTGAGGACAAGGTTCTTCACGCTGAGGACAAGGTTCCTCGCGCTGAGGACGAGGTTCCTCACGCTGAGAACAAGGTGTCTCACGCTTAGGACAAGGTTCCTCACGGTGGGGACAAATTTCCTCACGCTGAGAACAAGGTTCCTCACGCTGACGACAAAGTTCCTCCCGCTGAGGACAAGGTTCCTCAGTGTTGAGTATTTCTGCTCAAAACTCAGAAAAACAAAAATGCACTGGCTTAATCCCCCCCCTGACAATTAGTGAGCTCTCTACATATCTGGAGCAAGAATTTCAGTCATTCGGCCTTTGAGAAAGTGAAGCGAAGATGGCGGGCATTGACGTCCAATAACTCTGATGGTCGTAAACAGTTTTTATAGCATTTTTCCCAGCTAAATCTGTTTTTTTTTTGTAAAGGACAGTATCACAACAAGTTATCAGTTCACTAAACCATAGTGTTATTCTTTAAATCGATGTCACAATACGAAAGTTCGGCGCACTCTTTACCAAGATGGCGTAAATTGAAGGGGCTATTAAGACGTCAGTTCCAGTCCCTTTCTATTATTTTTGTCTGCGCGGTTAACACTCGAGTTCTCGCTGTAGTTATATATATAATAATAATAATAATAATAATAATAGTCTTTATTAACATACTCAGATACATCCGTCTGAGTTTACAATCGAAAGGTAATTGATCTAGTTATATTTACAATTGTAAGTTAAGAAGCGTAAAAAGTTTTAAAAAGTTTTTAATAGATTAAAGTCTAAACAAAGTTATACAGACAACGATTTATGAACGACCTTTTGAATCTTTCTGTTCTCACTAGGGGGAGTTCATACTCATGCCCTCTAGGCCTAAGTAACCTACTTCTTTTTTCCGGCAGCAGTTCAAGCAATGCATTGTTCTCAGTTGATGTTATTTTGTTCCACAGTTTCTTATCTCTCTTATCACGTATTTCTTTAATGTGTGTTCGTTTTGATATATAACCATTCTTATGTGCACGTTTAATGAATTTATCTATTTGGTTCAAATATTTACCGTCGTATGCACAACCCCACAGCTCAATAGCAAAAGTGAATATCGACATAATTAGGCTATCAAACAGCAGATCTAATTGTTTAATTGATAGTCCATAGTATTTGCAAACTCTCATAATGTACATTCGTCCACTTGCTTTTTTGAACATTTCTTCAAAGTGCAAATCCCAGTTGCACGGGTTATCTTGTAGAGTAACTCCTAAAAGCTTTAGCCATGTTTTTCGCTTAATTGAAGGGATAAGTTCGCGCAAAACTACAGAGGTGTGTCTGCGAACAACCATTTCGTACGTTTTTTCCAAGTTTAAGGGCATTCTATTCTCTTCCGCCCAATCCTGTAAACAGGCAGCTTCAGATCGAGATGTGTCACCACTTTCGTTGCCAGGCACTCCTAACGTCAAATCGTCAGCAAATTTGACTAACGCATTACTAGGATCAGCAGTTTTAATATCATCAACCATTATTGAGAAAAGAACTGGGCCTAAAACAGTACCTTGAGGGACACCACGATTAATATGTAAATATTCTGTAACCATTCCATCAACCATTACTCTTTGTATTCTATTTTCTAGAAAGCTAATTAACCAGTTCACCACATACGGATTAATTGGTAGCTTTTTAACTTTTTCAAACAAAAGATCGTGGGGCACACTGTCAAATGCTTTGCTGAAATCGAACGACAGCACTCTAACATAATTAGCGTTTTTATCCAGCCACTCTAGCCATTGATGTTGGGATTTAATCAGAGCCATAGTCGAGTTGTGACCCTTTTTATAAGCAAATTGGTCAGGACCAATGTTATTTCTTGTGATAGGTTCGATTTTAGATTTATACACGCACTTCTCGAATAGTCTCATGATGATATCCGTCAGAGAGATTGGTCTTAACTGGTTGCACGAATTTAATGGTGATTCTTTAGGGAGTGGTAATAAATTAGCGGATTTCCATTTCTGAGGAACTTTCCTGGTTTTTAGTGACATGTTAAAAATTTCTGTGACAATAGGAGCTAATTCAATAGCAAACGATTTCCAAAACCAATATGGCAGATTGTCCGGACCCGATGAAGAGCGTTTTTGATTGAGTAAAAGATGTTGAACTTCATGAATTGACAACGAGGGAATTCTTGTTCCTTCGGAGATTTGAAGAGGCTCGGGAGTCGTATAATTTGGGTCTGTATTCACACTTTGAAAATATTTGTTAATTTCACTAGGGTTAAGAGAAGCACTTACAGATACATCATGTTTCTTTTTTCTCCATGTAATGCTATTTACGTTAGACCACCAACTTTTCGATCCAGTTTTCTGGTTGCCAAACTCCTGTTTGACTGCACTTAATTGATTTTCCCGAATTAACTTGTTGATTTTTTCTTGCAATCGTGTATTTGCTTCAGTATTTCCGTTTTGTATGGCTCTTTTCCTTTGATTCAGAAGGTGGTTAACAAGAGGAGACATGAACGGAGGGTCGCGTGATGACGTTCTGACCTTAATTAGTGGGAAGCTCTTATCGAATTTTGGCCATATTATTTCATAAAATTTTAGGGTTATCTCATCTAGGTTATGGCTATTCATAATTATCGTGTTCCAATCAATAGATTCAAGTTCACGAAGCATATTCAATTGATGATGTTGTCTCACATCTCTGAAATAGGAATTTGTCCTTGTTGCTTTAACTATGTTTCGGGGGTATGTGATAACCATATCATGGTCGGATCTCACCAAGCTTTTTACAACTTTAACAGATTTCCAATAGTTTGGGACATTTGTAATAAAGACATCTAATATTTTTACAACCTATTGTTTCTTTTTTTTTTCAATAGCAACAGGATTTGGCAAATTCGGTGTTCACGCTTTTGAACATTTTTGCTAATAGCAAGGGAATGCAATGCGGGTGCCCAATGAGAAAAGAAAAGAATATGAGAGAGATTCTCGAGATTTGCGAGCTGTTGTGCAACATTGTTGGAGCTGAAAATCGCAATAGTATCGAGAAACAAAATGTCAATTCTAATAAGGTAATTAATATTAATTTGTTTTACAGTGGAGGGGGGGGGGAGGTATAATCAGTTTGCTGACCTATTGAAAAGTCATTCTGTAATTCAGCGGCCCGCAAAATTTCCACATTTCACGGCCAAAGATCAATTTCCTCAGCTAAAAATTGTGCTGCAGGTTTGGTCATGTAATTTCACATGAAAAGAAATGTATGCAGGAGATGAAAAAACATTTTATTATGCCAGAAATCTTGCATTATAATACGCCTACGTAATGCGTCCTCGCGTATTCATAATAGATAGCTTAAGATCTACGACGTCGACGTCAGCTAGGACGTCAGGGCTAAGCAGAGGACTGGGACTAGGAAGTCGTCCTAAATAAATAAACTTCCACTTAAAGATGATGTCCACTCCTGTGCGCATGCGCTAACTTTGTTTACGTTTTGAACTGCTATATTTGTAAAATATGAATACTATAACTGAATATCTAACACTTTTCTGGTTCGCTATGCTTGTAAATGAATATAAACTCTACGTTCCGATTCAAAAAAGTTCGAAAGATACAAAATTTGGGCAATGTTTACATCTGCCGGTCCCCCTTTGTTATGAGAAGAACTGATGCGCAGAACGGAGTGGACATCATCTTTAAGATTCACCTAACAAAATTCGTAATTTTTGGTCAATTTCGCGCAATCGCGGCAGCGCGGAGTTCCACAATGCATAGTTGAAACCTGGTGGAAAATCAACAATAATGCAAGTTGCTAATATAGATTAGTAATTTTTAAATGCATATACTCTAATATTTTAGCGCAAAATGTGGAATAAAATAAAAGTGGATTCAGTTTCATTTCCCGGCTTTGTGAGGTTCTAGCTAACTATTCAAAATTTTCTTTGGAGAGAATTTCTCCATAACGCCCATAGTAGATCTAGCCCCGTAAAAATATTGTGCTAATATATAGCTATAATTAAATGTACTCATGAAAAATCCACACTACATTTCAAACACTATTTTAGGTAAGGTAAAAGTAATTTTAAAAAGTTAGGTAAATTGGATCCTTACAAACCATGTATCTTAATGACAAAGTCTTCGCTACTGCACTTCCCTGAAGGCAAATGTATATTAGGCACTGTGTTATCACAGCTGACGCAGAGTGTCTTCTAGATGCAGGGACAAATTTCAAAAGAAGAGAAAATATTTTCGACGAGTGGTGCGGTGTTAGATGAAGGAGATGAAGGGGCAGTTGATACACAAAACATAGTGAACGAGAAAACAAAGGTAACAAAAATTGTGGTTCAATTTTGTATTAAAATAATTTGTAAATAAACTGAAAATTATTTGAAGTTCGGCAAACATAATTTTTGTTGTAATTATTCCTCATTTTTGAATTTTTGGGGGTATACGTGCAAAGTACTACAATTAATGTGATTACCAATACGATTCAAGATCAAAACTCGACAAGTATCAACAGCTACAGATGAAAATGTTAGTTATACCAAAAGTTGTACTATTCTAGATTTACTCTTCACAACAAGAATTTTATGATGCAACTCAGGGAAAAGTTGAAAATTGTGAAACACCAGAGTTGGAAGCGAAAACTAATGCGAGTGAGGTAACCAAAATGTTCCATTTAAATATGAAATATAAAATATTGACTAAAATTAACAGTGGTGATAATGACATGTATCGTCATGATCATTAATTGATCTGTTTCTTCATTGTTATCAAGAGCGTTTCCTAAAAATTAGTTTACTATATAGTTTGCTAATATTACACAACGCAAAATCACTTTTATCAGGCCTATCTACCCTGACTATACCACAGTACAATACGATCCAGGATTAAAACTCGACTATCAACAGCTACAGATAAAAATGTTAGTTATACTAAAAGTTGTACTGTTCTAGATTTACTCTTCACAACAAGAATTTTATGATGCAACTCAGGGAAAAGTTGAAAATTGTGAAACACCAGAGTTGGAAGCAAAAACTAATGCGAGTCAGGTAACCAAAATGTTCCATTTAAATATGAAATATTGACTAAAATTAACAGTGGTGATAATGACATGTATCGTCATGATCATTAATTGATCTGTTTCTTCATTGTTATCAAGAACGTTTCTTAAAAATTAGTTTACTTTATAGTTTGCTAATATTACACAACGCAAAATCACTTTTATCCGGCCTATCTACCCTGACTATACCACAGTGCAATACGATCCAAGATCAAAACTCGACTATCAACAGCTACAGATGAAAATGTTAGTTATACTAAAAGTTGTACTATTCTAGATTTACTCTTCACAACAAGAATTTTATGATGCAACTCAGGGAAAAGTTGAAAATTGTGAAACACCAGAGTTGGAAGCAAAAACTAATGCGAGTCAGGTAACCAAAATGTTCCATTTAAATATGAAATATTGACTAAAATTAACAGTGGTGATAATGACATGTATCGTCATGATCATTAATTGATCTGTTTCTTCATTGTTATCAAGAACGTTTCTTAAAAATTAGTTTACTTTATAGTTTGCTAATATTACACAACGCAAAATCACTTTTATCCGGCCTATCTACCCTGACTATACCACAGTGCAATACGATCCAAGATCAAAACTCGACTATCAACAGCTACAGATAAAAATGTTAGGCCTGGTTCAAACGTCGGATTTTGCATGTGTCGAATACAATTCGCATTTCATTCGAGCGAATTCAATGAAATTCGACGTTTGATTCAAACGTCGCATTTTGCATGCATTTAATTCGAAATTGTAAGTGTTGTAGAGTGTAGACACGTCCCTTTGATAGTTTTAATTAATAGATTGACATTTATTTTTAACCTAGCTGTGGTTTAACGTAAACAACAAGAGCAAAGTTTCTCTCAAAAATAAACACAGTAATCAGTATGTCAGTAGGGCCATTTATACGACTATACCAGCGAAATAAGCCGTGGCTCGTCTTATTTAAAGCACGAAAAAAATACTATGTAGTCCCGTATAAATGTTCTTTTTCGCGACTTTATTTTCGCTTGTATGTAAACTCACATCAGGCTATTGACTATTTTTCACACAAACACACAAAAAAAAAAATGAAATTATTTCCATTCTATGTCCTACGCGCGAAATTTGATCCATTAACACTACATGCCGTCCTTCTTTTACCTCGTTCCAGACTTTTTCCGCGAGCCCCACCCTAGCAGAATTGAATTCGACACATGCAAAATGCGACGTCTGAAACAGGTCGCATTTAGCTCGCACTTAGCTCGTATTATGCGACCGGTCGGGTCGAATTTAAAGTTAAGGTCGACCGCAATTAAAAACGTCGCATTTAATCGTTTCAGACGTCGAATTTTGCATGCACATAATTCAAGCAATTGAATTCGACACATGCGAAATGCGACGTTTGAAACAGGCCTTAGTTATACTAAAAGTTGTATTGTTCTAGATTTACTCTTCACAACAAGAATTTTATGATGCAACTCAGGAAAAAGTTGAAACTTGTGAAACACCAGAGTTGGAAGCAAAAACTCATGCCAGCCAGGTAACCAAAATGTTCCATTTAAATATGAAATATTGACTAAAATTAACAGTGGTGATAATGACATGTATCGTCATGAATCATGTCAGAGCAAAATTTGTCCACTTAAAATTTGTTCATGGAAGACTAGTCCTGTTCTGTCTCATGTTTACAACAGCGTTTCCATGTCAGAGCCAACATACTAAAACAGGAAAGTTCGGCTGACCTTCTGTATACCCTATTTCAAACATTAAGAAAACTCGTATGTCTGATGAAAACAAAAGCAACTAAGCATGCATTACAATTTAAGAAGTATGAACATGGGTCATGGATGATGGGTTAAACACTCGTATACATACTTTTAAAAGGATACAGCAATATATATTTTTATTATTTCATTTGGAAGAACTTTTAAAATTATATATTAATCTCTTTTACCGATTTTACGTAACTTTATTATTTCTTGAGATATTTGAACAGAAAAAATCACAAATCAGCGAGCTTTCCCAATCTTGAATTTTGGCGGATATGCATGTGACATCATAAGCAAGGGTCACGCAAGAATTTTATCCATAGAGCAATTGGTTATTATGAGCCCAAATCATATACTTCAGTAACTATTTGAAATAAAAACTGTCTGACGACTTTTCAAACAAGACTTAATGTTATTTGGTCATTTAGATGTAGTTTTATATGGCTCACCCTGTTTATGACGTCACTAAAATCACCGATAATGAGATAAAAATTAATCCAAGATGGCGGACAGCAAATTATTACAAGTCAAAATATATATTTCAAGAAATAATAAAGTTACGCAAAATCGGTAAAGGAGATTAACATATAATTTTAAAAGTTCTTTAAAATGAAATAATAAAAAAATATATTGCCGTATCCCTTTAATGTTTGAAGAAACGTAAACTGTACTAATGGTTACTTCCATTTATCGGTATTAAACTGTTGTTCAGTGGTAGGCTAGTAAAAGGACCGGCAGAGAAAATTCTTGTTTTATTTAATTTTAAGGTTTCACTTCCGTCTAAAGTGGATCCGATATCTTTCGTTGGAGAGTTTCAAGCAGATGATGCAAGTGCGCAAAACAACAGTAAGAAACTCCACAAAGAAATCACAATGGACAAGGTAATAACATTGTCTGTACTTAATATAAATTGGTTTGCAGTCAAACTAAAGTTTAAATTTAAAACAATTAAAAACTCATTTATACAGGAAAGCACTACTGTCAAGTTCTATTTTTAAATTGTCGTCCACCAATAAGAGCCAATCTTAAACACCGTAAATTTTAGGGATCGTTGTCTCCTGAAGAGCAAGAATTATTGAAGCCAAAAACAAAGCAAAATGAGGCTTGTGGAGAAAACAAGAGCCCAAAGACCAAGCGTTCACTGAGAAAGGTAAATGATTTGCTTGTAGGCTATTTCATTCCAATTGGTTTGGAATTGAACTAAAACTCAATTTTTACCATGTTCAGTTCGCTATTCAAGTTGTTGTACCAATCCCACTACAATGGCCAACCTCTAACAACGTAAATTTTAGGGTTGGCTATCTTATGCAAAGGAAACATCTTTGAAGCAGAAGTCAAAGAAACGTGAAGCATGCGGGAAAAAGAAAACTAATACACCACAGGGAGTGAATACACTGAGCAAGGTAATTAAATTGCTTGTATCTGATATAAATTGGTTTGGAATCAAACTAAAACTGAATTAAAAACTTATTTACTGGAAAGTTCTATGACGATCCACTAATAAGGGCCAATCTCTAATGTTCCACTATTTAAAGCGAATCTCTAACACCATAAATCTTAGGTTTCGCTGACTTTTAAGGTGGAAACATCATCATTGCAAGAAAAAAAGAAACATGTGGCATGTGGACAAGAGACAACCAATGAACCACAGAAAAAGAGTACACTGATCAAGGTAATGAGATTGCATGTATTTAATAAAAATTACATTGGATTCAAACTAAAACTAAATAGAGAACTTATTTTATTGTAAAGTTCTACCGTGTTCCACTAATGAGGGCCAATCTCTAATACGTGATTTGTAGGGTTCGCTATCTTCTAAAGAGGAAACATCTTCGTTGCAAGCAGCAAACAACCATGTGGCATGCGGACAAAAGGCAACCAAGGAACCACAGAGGAAGAGTACACTGATCAAGGTAATGAGATTGCTTGTATTAAAAAAAAATTGAATTGGAGTCAAACTAAAATTAAATTAGGAACTTATTTCATTCGAAAGTTCTATAGTGCTCCACTATAATGAGGACCAATTTCTAATAACGTGACTTTTAGCGCCCGTTGTCTTCTGAAAAGGAAACATTTTTGCCTACAAATGAGGCATGTGTTGATAAAGATATTAAGGTTGTTTGAAATACTTAATATAAATTGGTTTGAAGTCAAACTGAAACTAAACTAAAGATCTATGCGTACGGGAAATGTTCTATTTTACATCGTCCCAATCCACTAATAAGAGTCAATCCCTATAACAACGTGAATATTAGGGTCCGCTGTCTTATAAAGAGGAACCATCCTTGCCGAAAAGGAAAAAGAAACGTGAAGCATTTGATAAAAAGAAGATGAAAAGTCCGCAGAAGGAGAATACACTGAGCGAGGTTTGTCATTGTATTTAACATAAATTAGTTTGGAATCAAACTTAAACTAGATTAAAAATCTATATATACAGGAAAGCAATACCGTGTTAGAATCTATTTTTATGTTGTTGTCGGTATCCGCTAATAAGGCCGATCTATAACAAAGTAAATTTTAGGATTCGTCGTTTTCTGAAGAGGAAACATTTTTGCTAAACGAAACAAAGAAACTTGAGGCATGTGGAGAAAATAAGACAAAGAGACAACAGAAAGAAAATGCATTAAATAATAACTACAGTGAAACACGCAATTTGATTGGTCAATAGCCGTGCAGCCGGATCAGGCTATCCTTGCACGAAGAATTAAAATGCGTTCGCGGGATTTTCGCGGGATTCTCAAAATGTCATTGTTTCATTGTAGTTATTTTATAAAACAATTACCAAATGGTTTTCCAACCAGGATAGCATGATTCATGCACTTGGGATGTTGCTCGACTTTCGGAAAGCGTACGCTTTCCAAAAGTCTTACGACATCCCTCATGCATGGATCACGCAATCCTGCACGGAAAACAATTCGGTATTCCTTTATTCGGAAAGGTAATGAGGTTGCTTGCAATATTTAGTATAAATTGGTTTGGAGTCAAACTAAAATTTAACTACAAACGTATTTATATAGTGAACATTACTAAGATGTTCTATTTCAAATTCTTGTCCAAATCCACTAGTAAGAGCCATTCTCTAACAACTCGTATTTAAGGAAACATCTTCATTGCAAGACACAAAGGAGCGTGCGGAATGTTTACAAAAGACAACCAAGGAACAACAGAAGAAGAGTACACTGATCAAGGTAATGAGATTGCATGTATTTAATAAAAATTAGATTGGAATCAAACTAAAACTAAATGAAGAACTTATTTTATTGCAAAGTTCTACCGTGTTCCACAATTGAGGGCTAATCTCTAACACGTGAATTACAGGGTCCGCTGTCTTCTAAAGAGGAAACATCTTCGTTGCAAGCAGCAAACAACCATGTGGCATTCGGACAAAAGACAAGTAAGGAACCACAGAGGAAAAGTACACGGTACACAAAAATATACATCAAGGTGAGGAGATTGCTTGTATTTAATAAAAATTGGATTGGAATCGAACTAAAATTAAATTAAGAACTTATTTCATTGGAAAGCTCTGCCTTGTCCCACAAATGATGGCCAATTTCGAAACAACATGACTTTTAGCGCCCGTTGTCTTCTAAAGAAGAAACGTTTTCGGCGAAAAATGAGGCATGTGTTTTTTCGCTGGAAATATTTATAATATAAATTGGTTTGAAGTCAAACTGATATAAACCAAAATTTTATTCAAAGGGGAAATGTTCTCTTTTATATTGTTCTCCCAACCAACTAATTAGAGTCAATCTCTAACAACGTGAATATTAGGGTCCGCTGTCTTATAAAGAAGAAACATCTTTGCCGAAAGAGACAAAGAAACGTGAAGTATCTGATAAAAAGGAGATCAAGAGTTTGCAGAAGGAGAATACACTGAGCAGGGTAAGTCAATGTATTTGACATAAATTTGTTGGGAATCAAACTTAAACTAAATTAAAAATCTGTATATACAGGAAAGCAGTACATTATTAGAATCTAGTTTTAAGTTCTTGTCTCTATCCGCTAACAAGGCCGATCTATAACAAAGTAAATTTTAGGATTCGTCATTTTCTGAAGAAGAAACATTTTTGCTAAACCAAACAAAGAAACTTGAGGCATGTGGAGAAAATAAGACAAAGATAGCACAGAAAGAAAATGCATTCGGAAAGGTAATGATGTTGCTTGTAATATTTAGTATAAATTGATTTGGAGTCAAACTAAAATTTAACTACAAACCAAACGTATTTATAGTCAAAATCACTAACATGTTCGATTCCAAATTGTTGTTCCAATCCACTAATAAGAGCCATTTTCTAAAAACTCATATTTTAGGGTTTGCTGTCGTTTAAGGAAACATCTTCACTGCAAGAAACAAAGGAACATGCGGGATGTTTACAAAAGACAACCATGGAATCACAGAAGAAGAGTAGACTGATAAAGGTAATAAGATTGCTTGTATTTAATAAAAATTAGAGTGGATTCAAACTAAAACTAAATAAAGAACTTATTTTATTGAAAAGTTTATACCATGTTCCACAATTGAGGGCCAATCTCTAACACGTGACCTGTTGGGTTTGCTGTCTTCTAAAGAGGAAGCATCTTCGTTGCAAGCAGCAAACAACCATGTGGCATGCGGACAAAAGACAACCAAGGAACCACAGAGGAAGGGTACACTGATCAAGGTGATGAGATTGCTTGTATTTAATAAAAATTAGATTGGATTCAAACGAAAACTAAATAAAGAACTTATTTTATTGCAAAGTTCTACCATGTTCCACAATTGAGGGCTAACCTCTAATACGTGACCTATAGGGTTCGCTATCTTCTAAAGAGGAAGCACCTTCGTTGCCAGCAGCAAACAACCATGTGGCATGCGGACAAAAGACAACCAAGGAACCACAGAGGAAGGGTACACTGATCAAGGTGATGAGATTGCTTGTATTTAATACATATTGGATTGGAGTAAAACTAAAATTAAATTAAGAACTTATTTCATTGGAAAGCTCTATTTTAAATTGTTGTCCCAACCAACTAATAAGAGCCAATCTCTAACAACGTGAATATTAGGGTTCGTTGTCTTATAAAGAAGAAATGTCTTTGCCGAAAGAGACAAAGACACATGAAGCATCTGATAAAAATATCAAGAGTTTGCAAAAGGAGGATACACTGAACAAGGTAAGTCAATGTATTTGACATAAATTGGTTGGGAATCAAACTTAAACTGAATTAAACATCTATATATACATCTATATATAAAAGGCCGATCTCTAAGAAAGTAAATTTTAGGGTTCGTCGTTTTCTGAAGAGGAAACAGTTTTGCTAAACGAAACAAAGAAGCTTGAGGCATGTGGAGAAAACGAGACAAAGAGACGACAGGAACAAAATGCATTTGGAAAGGTAATGAGGTTGCTTGTAATATTTAATTATTATAAATTGCTTTGGAGTCAAACTAAAATTAAACTACAAACGTATTTTTGTGAAAAACACTAACATGTTAATCTAGTTTAAATTGTTGTCCCAATCCACTAATAAAAGCCATTCTCTAACAACTCATATTTTAGGCTTCGCTCTCTTTCGAAGAGGAAAAAGCTTCATTGCAAGCAACAAGGGAACATGTGGGATGTTTACAAAAGACAAGCAAGGAACCACAGAGGAAGAGTACATTGGTCAAGGTAATGAGATCGCTTGTATTTAATAAATATTGGATTGGAGTCAGACTAAAACTAAATAAAGAACTTGAAGTGAAACTTGAAGTCAAACTGAAACTAAACCAAAATGATACCCATGCATATGGAAAATGTTCTATTTTAAATTGTTGTCCCAACAAACTAATAAGAGCCAATCTCTAACAACGTGAATATTGGGGTTCGCTTTGCCGAATTTTTAGAAACGTCTTTATTTTATTGGAAAGTTCTACCGTGTTCCACTAATAAGAGCTAATCTCTAACAACGTGACTTTTAGGGTTCGCTGTCTTCGAAAGAGGAAACATCTTCATTGCAAGCAACAAACAAAGATGTGGCATGTGGGCAAAAGACAACAAAGGAATTACAGAAGAAGAGTACACTGATGAAGGTAATGAGATTGTTTGTATTTAAATAAAAATTGGATTGGAGTCAAATTAAAATAAGAACTTATTTAACTGGAAAGCTTTAACGTGTTCCACTAATGAGGGACGATTTCTAACAACGTGACTTTTAGCGCCCGTTGTCTTCTAAAGAGGAATCATTTTTGCCGAAAAATGAGGTATGTATTGAAAAAGGTAATGAGGTTGCTTGAAATATTTAATATAAATTGGTTTGAAGTCAAACTGAAACTAAAATAAATATCTATTTATAAGGGAAATGTTATACTTTAAATTGTTGCCCTAATCCACTAACAAGAGCCAATCTCTATAACAACGTGGTTATTAGGATTCGCTGTCTTATAAAGAAGAAACGTCTCTGCCGAAGGAGACAAAGAGACGTGAAGCATCTGAAAAAAAGAAGATCAAGAGTCCGCAGAAGGAGAATACACTGAGCACGGTAAGTTATTGTATTTAACATAAATTGGTTTGGAATCAAATTAAAGCTAAATTAAAAAATTAAATATACAGGAAAGCAGTACCGTGTTCTATATTTTAAGTTGTTGTCTCTCGCCGCTAATAAGGCCGATCTATAACAAAGTATATTTTAGGGTTCGTCGTCTTCTGAAGAGACAAGAGACAAAGAGACAAAGAAACCTGAGACTTCTGGAGAAATTTGGATAATGAGAGTACAGAAAGAAAATGAATGGAGAAAGGTATAGTGAGGTTGTTTGTAATATTTTTAATAAATTGGTGAAGAATCTAAAACTAAACTAAAAATTATTTGTTTTGGAAATGACTACTTGTATTTAATATAAATTGGTTTGGATCAAACAAAAACTATATTAAAAACTTATTTACTTGCTGAAGGACACAAAGAAACAGGAAGCATCTGGACAAAAGAAAATCAAGAGTCCAGAGAAGGGTATTACGCTGAGAAAGGTAATAAAGTCATTGTGTTTATTAACATAAATTGTTTTGGAGCCAAATTAAAAGTTATTTATATAGGAAATCACTGCAATATTCAATTTTTAAATTGTTGTCTTAATCCGCTAACAAGGGCAATCTCTAACAACGTATTTTTAGGGCTCGTCGTCTGCTGAGGGAACATTTTTGCTAAACGAAACAAAGAAACTTGGGGCATGTGGAGAAAACAAGACAAAGAGACGACAGGACGAAAATGCATTTGGAAAGGTAATGACGTTGCTTGTAATATTTAGTATAAATTGGTTTTAAGTCAAAATAAAATTAAGCTATAAACGTATTTATAGTGAAAAGCATGACTAACATGTTCTATTTTAAAATGTTAGGCCAATACGCTAATAAGAGCTGTTCTCTGACAACTCACATTTTAGGGTTCGCTGTCTTTTAAGAAAGAAATCTTGTCATTGCAAGCAACAAAGGAACATGTAGGATGTGGACAAAAGGCAACCAAGGAACCACAGAAGATGAGTACATTGATCAAGGTAATGAGATTGCTTCTATTTAACGAAAGTTGGATTGGAGTCAAACTAAACTAAGAACTTATTTTACTGGAAAGCTCTATGGTGTTCTACTAATGAGGGCCAATCTCTAACAACGTAAATTTTAGGGTTCACTGTCTTCCAAAGAGAAAACATGTTTGCTAAAAGAGACAAAGAGACATAAAGCACGAGGAGAAAAGAACACTGAGTGCCCACAGAAAGAAAGTGCATTGAGAAAGGTAATGGAAGTTGCTTAAAATAATCAGGGACGCGCTGGCAGGGAAGAGCCAACGAGAACTCGTTGTGGACCCCTGCCATCATGGACCCCTAAAATTAAAACATTGCAATTTTTTCAAACATTGAGATTTTAATTTTCAAAATCAAGATTAAGATATTACAATCTATATTGTAAAAATTAAAATTTACGAAAATATTACCGAAAAATATTCGTTTGTGGGACCGAAAAGTTACGATATGCACGGAAAAATCAGTTTAGTATTTCCGGAAAACTGACGAGAAGTCCGGAAAAGATTTTGTATTCCAGGAAAAAATACGATATGTGCGGAAAAATTTCGGTATGTCCGGAAACAGTTGTCGACCTCTGCCCCCTCCCCCCCCCCAGCTCGCCAACAATTTTTGGAAGAGATATTAATATTGAGTCATAGTTTTCTGAGCCTGGGCCCCATCAGACGTTGCTCATTCGTTGTCCTTTTTAAGACGCCAGCAAATAATACATATTGGTTTGGAATCAAACTGTGAATTTTAGCGTTCTCTGCCTTCCGAAGAGAAATCTTTTCAACTAACTTTCCGACGAAAGACCTTCGCTCGAAACGTTGAAGTTCTTTAAGGTCGAAGTTCCCTAACTGCTCGACGAAGAAAATTCATTGAGAAAGGTAATGAGGTTGCTGTAATAAAATAAAAAATAACAGTAACGCCGAATAATTACATTTTGATTTTTAATCGACGTTTCGACTAGTTTGTGGTCATCCTCAGGATTAATCCTAAACGTCGATTAATCGAAACGTCGATTAAAAATCAAAATGTTATTCGGAGTTACTGTTATTTTGTATTTTCTTAAAATACTGAGTGGTTCCCGTAATTATTGCTTGTAATATTTAATGTAAATTGATTTGGAGTCAAATTATTCTAAATTAAGTAGAATATTTTCTTGCTAATGCATTCGGGAGGTAGTGTGTTATAATAACTGATATGTAGGTATTATAAGTACAACTACTGTCATAAGAAGGAAACACTTTAATTATCTAGAGAACCTGAGAGATTAAGGAATTCTCTGAAACGGTCACAAGCTACGCTAATTCACTTATCAACTAGTCACATTTAGCCTGCTGTCGACTGAACATCACTCAGTTTACACATCAATTTTTTCATAACCCACTACTGCACCTATATAATATTGTCAATATCCTAGTTTTTTATATGCAATGGCGTAATTTGGCCCTCACCTTTACTGGGCAAAACTGTTTTAGAATCATCTTTACTGGGTAAAACTGTAAAGCACCCTGTTGTATGTACTTTACTTGGTAAAACTGTAAAGCACCCTGTTGTCCATTTAATAAGGGACAAGCTCTATAACGTGGTAACTTTAGGATTTGTTGTCCTCTGAAAAGGAAACGTCTTTGATAGAGAAGACACAGAAAGATGATGCATGTAGAGAAAAGAGGGCCGAGAAAGTGCAGCAAGACAGTGGACTGAGCATGGTAACGAGTTTTCTCATAATATTTAATGTGAATTAGTTTGCAGTCAGACTAAACCTAAATTAAAAACCTATCTATGCTGGAAAGCACCAACATGTTCCATTTTAAATTGTCGTCTCTATCCATACACCAATAAGGCCAATCTCTAACGCGTAAATTTTAGGGCTCGCTGGCTTTTGAAGAGCAAAATACATATTATACATCACAATATATGTGGCAAAGTACAAAGAAACAAAAGGCATGTGGAGAAAAGAAGACAAACAAACCACAGAATGTAAGTATACAGTGAGCAAGGTAATGAAATTGCTTGTAATTTAATTTAAATTGGTTTGGAATCGTACTAAAAATATATTAAAGGGTTATTTAGGAAAGCTCTAGCATGTTCTAGCTTAATTTGTTTAAATTGTTGTCCCTATGAACCAATATAAGGGCCAATTTCTAACAATATAACTTTAGGGTTTGTTGTCGTCTGAGAAAAAAATATCTTTGATGCAAAAGACAAAGAAAGATGATGCATATATGGAAGGGACGACTAAGACGCCACACAAAAAGAGATCATTGAACAAGGTAGTGAAATTGTTATTAGTATAAATTGGTTTGGAGTAAAATCAAAAAACTAAATTAAAAACCTATTTATATTGAAAAGCAGTACCATATTCTATTTTAAAATTGTTGTCGCTATATACACAAATAAGGGCCAATCTCTAACGTGACTTTTAGGGTTTGTTGTCTCCTAAAGAAGAAACCTCTTTTTTGCAAAAGTTAAAGAGGAATGAGAGATGTAGGAAAAAGAAGACAGATAGACCAGAGAAAGAGAGTTCACTGTGCAAGGTAATGAGGTTGCTATATTAAATATAAAATGGCTTCGAGTCAAACTAAAAGTACATCAAAAACTTGAGTATAATGCAAAGCACTACTATATTCTATATTTAAATTGTTATCCTTATCCACAAACAACCGCCAATCTCTAACAACTAACTTTAGGGTATGTTGGTCTCTGAAAAGAAAATATCTTTGATGCAAAAGACAAATAAAGATGAAGCATGTGAAGAAATGAAGCCCAAGACACCACTCAAAACGAGTTCACTGAGCAAGGTAATGAAGTTGTTTGTAATGTATATATTTGTGAAACTCATTAATAATTCATTAAGAAAACACAAACGAAATCATCAGCGTGAAGGAGTTTGTATATGCGATACAAAAATCATGCTGATTTACATGAAACTTATGTTTAATTTTCTCACAAAAATCATTAATTTATTAGTTTCAAATTCAATGTTCTCATCGAGAAGCTATACAAAGCATTTGCGTCCGTGTTGTATCAGACATACAACCTCTCGCAACACGGCCGCTCATGCTTTGTATATTACATTTTTTGTATTTTTTGAAATGCAGACAAAATCTGTGTGCATTGCATGATTGGTCCAAACTAAAATTATAAACTGACAAACTACTCTAACTATGTACAGCTGCAGTTCTGCATGTTTGTGTGCTTTCCCCCCTGAAAACGTTTTTCAGTTTAAACTAATTTCGTTATTTGTTAAAGGTTTCAGCGTCTCCTGAAAGGGAATCAGATATTTTGGGAGACGCGAAAGTAGATGGAGCGTGTGGGGGGCACTCAGGACAGAACAGTAAGAAGCCTGAAAAGGATAGTACACTGTGTAATGAGGTAATGGAGGCTTTTGCATCAAACGTGAAATTATAATGGTTTTGTTTTGTGGACACACCACGTTTTACATTGATTGGCCCAATATTTAGACATCAGTACAAGTTTGTCTAAATCATACACAATCTTTCAGGATCCACTACGAGACAGCAAAAACTACCTCAGTTTATAACATTTTCTATTCTCGCAGAACCAAATCATGAAACTGATGAAGAAAATCGAGGAACTCGAAGAGAAAAATCATAAACTGGAAGGCATGAAGATAATGCTGTTCATACAAACTCAACGCCAATTAGTCCAGTTGCAAAGATATGAGGCAATGGACATGAGAGGGCCTAACATCATTTCAGAGACAGTGGTATGTGTAAGCAATCAGAAGAAACTTTTGGTAGTGTCTCCCATATTTCACACACGATAATTTCTCTTTGACTTTAACCCCAATAATAAACATGTCCCTAACCAATGCTGTTTTTCAAAAGTGCCCGATTTAAGGAACGAAAAAGGGTTTCTTGAATGAACGCCCTCTTTTGCTGGAAAGAATCGGTGCCCTTTATGCAGTAGTAAAGACTCTGTAAAGACAATTTCCGATTAGAAACTCAATATTTTCAAATATTTTCGTTCGGCTCGTGAACGAACGACATAAAATCTTTGATTTTAGTCCTTTTGGCCAATGTCCCTCCACTTTCGAAATGCTTCCGCGGCCTCTGTTGCGTTAGTTTTGAACTAGCACAACCTGTTTGTTTGAAGTTTATATAATATTTACCAAATTTATGTGCCATTTGTACTAAAAAAATCATGTGGAACAAATTAATTATTATTTCATTTAACAGGAAACTGATCTACAATGGTCGGGTCACCATGACGTGGCTGGGAGACAAGAACTCTGAATAATTTCATCCAACTCTATTACATGCAGATTGCTTGATTGGATATTGCACTACAAGCTGTATATAAATTAATTAGCTATTCAAATGAATGTATCAACTAATTGCATTACTTCAGACTGAACCTATAATATTCTTAGCGTTTATCCAAAAAATTTTGCCATCGAAATTGATTTTTTTGTTGCTCATGAAATCAATTTTTTTAATTGAGCTTTTTATTGTCAATCAAAGCACTAACTTTTATCTATAATGGCCGCACTTTCTGACATATGTTATATATATATGGATGCCCAGCCTAGACATATATAGTTATTCCGGGATGCCATGCATGCATGCATGCAATATTAGTTTTCTTTAGTTTAAGCGTATTATAGTAGAAGCTCTAGCTGTATAAAAGAGGCTTATGTAAACAATAAATTTATTTCTCTGTTTTATCAAATCTTAATAATCTTTAATAAATTTATCAAATCTTGATGAAGTCTCAACTTGGGCTATTCCATTTAATATCCGCACACCGAGGCATGATATCTGGAATTTGTCAGGGGAATTATATAAGATGCCAAATTGGCCTGAAATTATTCATGCAGGGGTACGGTTTGTGACCTTGGAATACCTCGAAGCAGTTAAGGTATTTGTGCTTGGAAATCTTTAGGGATAATTAAGGCGTTTAGGCTTGGATTTCCTCAGGTAAGACATTTGGAATTATTTATATCTATGAGAAATATGTATCCTGCATGGACATGGAATATAATCTCGAACGATCTCGTGGCGGCGTAGGTAGTGACGATAATGCGTAACTGCGTAATGTGAGATATGCAACTAGACCTGAAAAACACATGCACAAGCAGAATTGTTATAGCTATAGCTAGAATTAACACCAAACATGATTGGCTGATTTGTGGTCACATGATTTCAGATAACTACAATGTATCCCGCCGGGCAACAAGTGAAAAATTATTGCCTACGTATACATAAACAAAACTGTCTTTCAGAATTTGTCTGCCGAGCAGAGCAGAGTATATATATATATATATATATATATATATATATATATATATATATATATATATATATATATATATATATATATATATATATATATATATAGTTTTACCTCAAAAAACCACAACAGTCTGTTTCATTCCTATACGGATGAAATATGATTCCTATGATTCCTATACGGTTCTGATATGATTCCTATGATTCCTATACGGATGAAACAGACTGTTGTGGTTTTTTGAGGTAAAACGAAAAACTATATTACGCTCTATCTATATGGTATTGAGCACTGTTTGTGTTTCGTAAACCAAAATCTTAAGCTATATATATATATATATATATATATATATATATATATATATATATATATATATATATATATATATATATATATATATATAACAATTATACCATGAGCTCGAGTCGTATATGAGCTGATAGCCGACGAGGTGCGTAGCACCGAGTCGGCTATCAGCCATATACGACGAGAGCGAATGGTATAATTGTTTTATAATATAGTCTAATATAGCCATTAACTGAAGAAGTAATTAATTATTCACTGTTACAATGTGTTGACAATTTGTTCGGCCAAAAACCGCTTGAAAATTTGAAATACTTTTGTTTTACAACTCGAAGACGAAGTGAAAGAAATGGTTTTAGAACCTCTATATCTCACAGGAAAGCTCAGATATATTATACAGATGTTTGGTACTATAGTAAGTGCTTGTTGACTGTAAATTCATTTGTCGTTCATTGCAAACTTTTCTGAACAATTTATATTCTCAATGAACATGTTTTTTTCGCTGTTGTTTCGGTATTAATTCTTTGAAAAACTTGTATTTAAACTAATTTCTACGTAATAAATGTATTTTGCTAACCTGTCAAATTTTTTTTGAAAGTTTTTCCTTGTAATATTATGTTTCTCAAAGCGAATATTTTCCTTTTTCTGCTTCGCAAAGCTCATGTAGTTTTTGGACCGCCATCTTGTTTTTCGCTACTCGACGTATATGAGCTGATATACGGCGAGTAATTCAACCAATCAGATTGCAGAACAGCTCATATACGGTGGATGACTATATTATAAATATATATATATATATATACCTGAACAAACGCTCAGACTTGTTTTCCAAATGTAGACATGTAACCAGATACCTGCTTTAATCAAGTTGTAAAATGATAACCTGTATTTATTATGAATATTGAATTATATCTGTCAGTTGCCTGATGATCGCGTAAAGCGTGAAACCCAGAGTAACGACGCAAACATTCAAACCTAGTCTGAATGAATTATGCTCTACTTATTATGGTACTGAGCGCTCTTCTACCTTACGTCAACTCATCGACTATTCTCTTAAAAAAATAATGAATTTAGCGATCATTGAGTACATTAATACTGCTAGAATATTATACCATCATAAAAATACATTACTTTGACTTCGAAGAAACATCCACGTTCAATATAGTTGTATTTAAATATCGGCAAACACCTATACAGGGTGTATAAGAAAAAACTGAACAGATTTGAAATTGAAACAATAGAGGATGCGTAGCCATGTTGAAACATTATTTATTGAACGTTCTCTGACTTAATATTTATTTCTACGAGCTTTCGGCTATCAGTCTATAGATTGAAATTGCTCTTTATTTTTGCAAAACAGCCATTAGTATCTAGTTTTTGATGTATATAGCTTATTTGGGTACTTATAATGTGGAATAATGAAAAAAATTCTCGAACTCAAATTTTGTGAACCAGGGGTGTGTTTCTTTTCCAACAAACTAAAAATGGCTTGCGCGCGAAATTTAAAAGCTTTAATCATATTTTGAGCTAATAGATGGAAAATTTGTCGGGTTTTTAATTACTGTACAAAATTTCAGACAATTTGCTTTAGTTTAGGCTTTTTGGCGGCTATTCATTTTTTCCTAAAAAATCAGCCTTTCGCATGCTTAATTAATGCCTTTACCTAATTGGCATATTGCTGACATATGCAATTAGCCAAAGGCATAAATTAAACATGAAAATAGCTGATTTTTAGGAAAAAATGTAAGTTTGCGTGAATAGTTAAAGGGCTTAAACTAAAGCAAATTGTCTGAAATTTTGTACAGTAATTAAAAACCAAACAAAGTTTCCATCTATTAACTCAAAATATGATTAAAGCTTTTAAATTTCGTGCACAACCCAATTTTAGTTTGTTGGAAAGACACCCCCCCCCCCCCCTGGTTCACAATATTTTTCCCCATTATTCTACATTATAAGTACCCAAAGAAGCTATATACATCAAAAACTGGATACTAATAGCTGTTTTGCGAAAATGAGAGGAGATTCAAAACTGTTCAGTTTTTTTATACACCATGTATGGGTAAACACGTTCAGCTCAATACAGCCTAAAATAAGCGTAAAATACTTGATGTGATCGATCACGGAACAGCCCCTGAATAATAATGTAATGTAATGTGACAAGTCCACCGAATCATGACAACAAAACCAGAAAACCTTCAGCTCAAAAGGTATGTTTTATATCATCCATATAGATTGCCCATATTCGAAAACACACGATGAAACTTTCATGCAATTTACTGTTGTCATCTAACATCTTCTTGATGTTACTTGGACTGCTGACAGCCAATAGACAATCGCAGAAGCTTTTTAAGAAAGATAAAAAAGGTATGCTTTCGACTCTTTAGTGTATCCAGTACCTAGATCTTATCCTCAACCTTGAAAAAGATTTTACCTCGATCGGTGGGGTTGAACTCAGCCCTGTTTACCGGGTTGAAATTTTTTGCGATTACATGAACGATTTCAACCCCGGGGTTGAAATCTACAAGCCCGGGGTTGAAATGCTGCACGTTCCCGGTATTTGTAATTCCCGGAAGTAAAAAAGCGGGAAATTTTAAAAGATGGCTGCCGAAAATATGAAATGTATCGCAATACTTATTTTTTTCCAATTTGGGGTGTTAATAACCTTGATATTACAGTTTAATGCTATGGCCATTGCCTATAAGCTCTTACAAAAAAAGCGAATGTTGCTGATTAGCGCGTATTTGTGTTTAAAAAACAACAAATGGGCTAAAAGAAAGAAGCATCTCAAACTTCGCAGACTGTGCAGAAAACGGAGAACAATATGGGTAGCAAATGGAAGAACGGATCAGTGGTGGACAAATTTATTGCATGAGAATATCCCACCAGGCACTTGGAATAAAAATTTGAGAATGAGCAAAGAGTGTTTTTACAATTTAGTAGCTCAATTAGACCCAGTGATTGGGCCAAAACTAAACTCACCGAATTATAGATTCCTTACAACAGACAAAAAATTGGCAGTCACATTGTATTATTTGAAGGACACCGGCTCGTTGTGGATGACCGCAAATACGTTTGGTATACATCAAAGTACAGTGACGAAAGTGATAACTGAAGTATGTTCAGCCATAAACAAGTTGCTAGGGCCAACGTATATACACCTACCAAGGAATAAAGATGAAATGAGGCAAAAAGCTTCAGAATTTGAACTGAAATTTGGCATGATACAGGCTATTGGCTGCATTGATGGAACGCATGTTGCTCTCAAACGCCCTCCAGACAACTCACAAGTGTGCCTTTGGTAGGTTGAAGGCTCGCTGGAGATTTCTTACTCGAAAGGTGGATTTGAAATTTGATTCAATTCCAACTGTCATATATAGTTGCTTTGTTTTACACAATTACTGTGAACGGAACAAGGATTGCTTGATAGACAAAGAAGAAATGACCCTCCAGATGCAACAGCATGTAAGAGATGAAGACTCAAGCCCAAATATGCCTGACCAAGTGTATTCATACAATAATTCGGAAGGTGAACTTGTTCGATCGATTCTCACAGACTATATCACACATAATTTACCTGACAATTATTATTGAAATAGTTCATACATAATTATGTAATCTGTGTTGATGAATGCATGCCTTTAGCACAAACATTGCAGTTTTAATACATATTGTATTATATACATGCATAAAACTACAGTATGTACATCAGACATATTTGTAACTAACATGCATTAAAGTTTAATATTGCACAGAACAATTAACAGAACAATTAAAATATTAATATAAACAATTAAAACAAACTTTTCATCTTGACTAATTATACCTATTTGTGTCATTTGATAACCAAGTCTGTCAACATAAAGGTGCATGTATCATACTGTACTACACTGTAACATGAAACCGTTTTTGTGTTCAACAAGAGAAAATACTTAGATCACTTACAGAGTATGATAAGTACTTTTTTCAGAGCTACCAGATATCTGTGATGTACCATCTTCAAAGTTGAACTGATGTGTGCCAAAGTTATTATAAACAGCTGCACTAGAAGTTAGGCCAGTATACGGGGGCTGATAAAGTGTAAACGCTTGTTGTTGATTGTTTGACTGCATCACAGGCTGCATGAAACCTTGACTTATTACTTTCATGGATTGCGTCAAGCCTTCAGCTACCTGAACAATAGATTGGCTCATTTGCTGCATTGCATTGGCAAATGTCTGATCAGACTGCTTAATAGCTTCTGTCATATCCTTTTTAAACTGGGAATCCTCTTTTGATTCTTGCATAAGCAGCTGATCTCGTTGAGCAGCACTCAACTGGCGCTCCATGTGTTTTCTTTTATTGTCAATCAGTTGTGGAATTGCAGGCTTAACTGTTTCAGCTTTTCGCTTTTTAGAATCGGTGACTGTTTTATCAATTACTGATGCAGGGGCTTCAGTCAGACCATCATCTACAGTTTCTACACTCTGTGAAGGCGGCTAAATAACAGGATAGACTTTAATGCATGATATCCCAAGATGTTATGTATATGGGGAAATCTGGTATTAGTAGTATATGGGGAAATCTGGTATTAGTAGTATATGGTGAGTGAGATTACTATCATAAATGCACAGACAACATAATGAGAGGCCATTGTATATGTTAACTTTGTATATTAAATAGCTAACAGAATATTCTTAAACCACAGTTTGTCACTTTGATGCCATATAAAACATGTCAAGATTGTGACTGAAAATCTCAAAAAATATGTGGTACATAAAGAAAAAAACTAATATTTAGATAAGATTTGCTTACATTCGTAATAACAGGGTCATCATGACCAAAATCTTCGTCTTCTTGATTCATGTTGTCAAGTATACTTTGCTCAAGACTGTTCACTGTTTCGGTGCTTGTTCCACACGACAGAGGTTCAGTAGCAGGAGAGCCACCCCATATTTGTACCAGTTCATCATAGAATTCTAGAACGACCTTCCCGCTACCACTACGACGACCACTGGTGATTGCAATAGAAAAATTTTGGCGAATATCTTTCAACTTTTCATGAATACGCTGGTATCCTCTTTTAATGAATTTCTTGTCTTCGTCCTGCTGCTTTTTTAACTTTACTTTTTCTCGCTTTTGCTCTTCAGTAAGTAAAGCATCACTCACGGCTATTAATGGACTTGAAAGAACGGATGCGGGACCAAATTGTGATGGATCTTTATGATAAATTTTGGCCATCGCCACACGCACTTCTTCATATTGCTTAACTTTATCGGCATTGAAGTCGCAATTATTGAACTCCGATTGGCTTTTGTAGTTCGCCAAGCAGCGTATCAAGTTGTTTACCTTTTCGTCCTTGTCCCAGCGAAATCGTTTTTCTTTACTTGCAGCAGTTGGTACGCCTGGCTCTGCAGCCTCTTTTTGCATTAATACGTCGTCATGGATCGTCCACGTTTGCTCGATAGCCTCCATTTTGTTTTCTTGTAATAAATAGTCACTACCACGCATGCTCGAAAATTTCAGCCCTGGGCTGAAACGATTACATGACAAAATTTTCAACCCAGGGCTGAGTTCAACCCCGGGGTTGAAATTTCAACCCTGCTAGCTGAAGCAGGGTTGAAATTTCAACCCCGGGGTTGAACTCAGCCCTGGGTTGAAAATTTTGTCATGTAATCGCGCGTTTGATTTTGATAGAGTTTTGTATTAAGACAGGGCTGAAATTTCAACCCGGTAAACAGGGCTGAGTTCAACCCCGGGGTTGAAAATGCTCCATGTAATCGGCCCCTAAGAAAAGACTGAACAAATTCGCAGACCGAAACCTAGGGACAAGGCATTTATATATCGCTTCTCTTTCATGAAACAATATTGAGAATTATTTTGATAATATTCATTGCATATTGTTTGTATTAAGCTTGTTTCACAATGTTTATACTGACTATTTAATATTTATAAGTATGCAGCGTTAAAATGTACAGTAATTTACTCGTCACTTTGTTTACAATAATTATCACATGCATGTTTAATACTGTAATTCCACCTTTTGTTGCAAAATTTGAACTATAAACATATTAAATTATGTCCAATGTCCATGGTATATCACATTATACTATACTGGATATATATATTTATTGCAGTTATATTATTACTATACTGGATAGCTGTATATATATATTTATTGCAGCATGAAGCAATTCCAAACAACTGAATTAGTTAGCGGGTAATATACAACTTTAAACTTACTGTGCCTACAGAAACACATGCAGATTGTAATAAAAAGTACAACTTGATATATTACACTGTAAAACCTCAAGCCGTTTTAACTTTTTAGTATGCCCCAGTGGCGGTCTGTATACGAAACTAACGAAAGAATACAATATAAATGGAGTTCAACGTTTATCGGTTTATGTTTACAATATTTAAGTGTATTTCCGGTCTGCGCTGATTGGTTGATATTAATTGACCTGTGACATCCTAATTGAAAGGCGGCACGCAATCATCATAGGGATTCTTGCAGGCTCTCTTTCACCCAAAGAGCCTGCTCGCAGGCTAGGTCGTCTGCCATGCAGGGAATGCTGGGATAAGTAAAAATCTATCTTCATAATGATCCATTTTATTTCTTGAAATTTATTTAGTTCTGCCGCAACGTAGTGAATGCTTCAGCTATTCATGGCTGAATGAAAGCAGCAGAAGCCAGAATTATTCAGAATACGAAGAAAATTGTGACCACGGTCTTTCAGGGTGGTACAGATTTGGAGGAGGAGCTGGGGTTAAAATGCTATCATCGTGTGTACCTGTGTACACATGTGGAACAGGCGCCACAGGTTGGATGGATGGTGCTCACCCTACAGTTGCTGATGGCAACGTGACCAGGAAAGTGTGTTACACTGTGACTGATTGTTGTACGAGTTCAAACCGCATTGAGGTTGTGAATTGTGGACAGTATTATGTTTACAAACTAAGCCCTCCTCGTCCTGGTTGTCCTTCAAGATATTGTGGATCAGATAATTGATTCAGGTTGTTCCCCGTACACATTATGATGCATTTACATTACCCACTAGCGGACTAGCACCAGACTTCAAAGATTGAACTTTATTCAATTGACTTAACGTAAATGATCTAGCAAACGTCCACCCTCTAACAGATTAACAGACGCCCCAGTCAACTCAGAATCATACAGCATGCAGCCGCCCTTCTCGATTAACTTCGTCATATTCTAATAAACGCCCTTCCCGTAGGGGGAAATTAGCAGACTTTTTAATTAAAAACATTTCTTTATAGTAAATGTGTAACAGCTATGAAAGTTGAAGAGTTTTACTTTTTTCACTCTGCAAACTTCCAGGAAATATTCTCAAAATTACTCGTGAAACTAATGTGGGGTGAAACTAAACACCCCGTCTAAAAGACCCTCGAGCTCCTTATCTAATAAACGCCCCCCCCCCCCTCCCACCCCTTCTTAAAATTATTGAAGTACTATTCAAAATCTCATTAGTAATTCATGAGGAAAACACAAAGAAAAAATAATAAGCGTGTCGTGTCTTTATATAAGATGTATCAAGAAACCTGCAAACATTTGAAATACAATGTTTTTCGAATTTGCATCAGACCTAATTGATCCCAAGCGTGCGTAAACACAATAGTTCGCAGTCGAACTGATAATTAGTTTTCTGCATTACAAATAACTAATTTGTGTTGTTCTAATTTCTATCAAGGCGGTTAATTATAGAATGTATTTTAAAATCCCATGCAGGAGCAAAATAAGTAGCACAGACTTTAAAATGCTAGTAAGCAGCAGAATTATGCAAATTATAGTGTTTGCAGATTTTTGGTACACCCTGTATGTGATAGAGATTACCCTTGATTTACATAAATTTTAACTTTGATTTTCTCTACTTACACTGAACGTATTTTTTGAAAATTACTTCGTCAATGAACTTACCAGATCGATCGTTTTTGAAGCAATTTAAAACATCAGTGCGTGTTTTATCGGACCTAAAGATACTCGGCTTCGCCTCGTGTCTTTATATCTGATAAAAAACTGCTGCTCATGTCTTATCAGATATAAAGATATGAGGCCAAGCCGAGTATCTTAGGTATGATAAAACACGCACTGCGAATATGTTAAATTGCTTCAAAAACGATCGATCTAGTAAGATCATCGGCGAAGTAATTTTCAAAAAATACGTTGTGTAAGTCGAGAAAATCAAAGTTAAAGTTTATGTAAATCAAGGGAAATCTCTATCACATAAAAAGATACCACAGGCTTATGATTTTTCTTTGTGTTTTCCTCATGAATTATTGAGAAAATCTAATAAACATTCTGGGCGTTTTTTAGATCATTTATGTTATCCTTTCATTTCCAGTTGATTTCAGTTTTGTTGTTTTTTGTCACTAGTATATAGAGATATATGAACAATTCCAATCGAAAATAGTCCATTGGACATATAGACTTCATAATTAATATATCATTGTTGCACTTGTATTGTAGTATTAGGGAGCTTAAGATACTGTACACCAAATCTACGACGCGGACGTAACTAAAAACTGCCGCTATTATCACAGTTTCACTTCACGGGTAAAAACTATGGATTGTTGTTGGCAAACAAAGCCAGGAACACGAGAAAAACAAAGCAAAACTAGTCTCCAATTGTTAGCGACTATGTTTTTTTGTTTTAAAAGCTCCCTATTAGCAAACTAAGCGAAATATATCATCTGCTTGGAAAAACGTTTGATTTCATTTTTAATATTATGTTGTTAGTTTCAGCCATGCCTGCGCGGCGACAATCTTCCACCGGAAGTGGAAGGGATTCTGCTGAAGGCAACAGAGTAAGTACATACAGAGATCTCACTTCAGCGGTAAAACTGCAAGGTAGTTTTTACTGCGCATGCTGTATATGGCAGCTGCATTCTTAACAAGTGCCCTAAAGCGAGGCATTCACCCTCCTGGGAACATTAAGTTTCAATATGTTTTCCGGGGGGCGACGGCATCTCTTTAGGGCACTTGCTAAGAACATGCGGACTGGAAAAATTCCTTACGCTAAATTTAACCTAAAGTGAGACCTCTGTATGTAATTACTCTGTGACCAAACACCGAAGATGATCTCCTTTTGTAGTCTCACTGGAATAATAGGAAGTTTAAGCTTCGCGTTTCCGGGAACGGCAAACGGCAGGTTCGAACTTTCTTGGCAAAATTTTCGTTGAACGTTTTCGTTTCATATTTTCTTTCTTGCGTCGAAAGGATAATTATGTACTTCAGTTTTAAAAAAGCAAGTTCATTTACTATGTATTGCCTGATACCGTAAAATTTTTCTTTGCCTGGCATTTGCTGTTTGCCGTATAACGCGAAGCTTAAACTCTCTAGAACGCTACATTGACGACGTTTTATACTGTATAGACTTACCTTTCCTGGCCCTGTATAATTACATTGGGTGTTTTTCGGACAGTTTCCATTCCAGGTGATCTCGTGTTTGTATTTTAGCCAATCAGCGCTCAGAAAGGGTTGTCCGGATAGAAATCCATTTTGATGTATTCAGTCAATTTTATCTTTCGTTATTTTTTATGAAACTAGTTGAAATTTTGTAATTATGTTTGGTTATGAGAACTATAGCTCTGACAAAAATATGGAATCGAAATAAAGTATATTACAGGAGATATTCAGTTGAATCATAAAATGGATTTCTATTTGACAACTAGTGCCTGTACTTTCCGTGTATCAAGATCATCTGGTTATTTGTTTGACAAGGATCACTTGCTAAATAAAATAACAATAAAATGTCATGCCTTCAGTGACGTAACGGGGGAAGAGGCGGCCCTTGGGCATATTTGGTGTGGGGGCCCCTGTTGACTGTTGTCATTGTTCGACTGAGATATTATAATATTTATACTGAATTCCACATCTCGAAGTTTATAATTTGTCATTTCACTTTTGAAAGTAAATAAATCAGTAAGTGATTTAGGACCCATTTTATTCAACAATTTAAACATCAGTTTTGACTTAGCCTTTATTCTTTCCGTTTTAAGTGGCTTCCAGTCTAAAGCATCTAAAGCAACCAGATGATCTACATCATTGCTCATATTCATTATGATTCGAGCAGCTCTGTTTTGGAGCTTTTGGAGGCGTTTTGATTGTGTTTCACCAAACACATCCCATACTTCACAGCAATATGTAAAGTATGGGCGAACAATAGAATTATGCACAGAGACAAGTGTATCTTTCTCGACAAATTCTTTTATTTGACGAAGAGCTGATATCCCGGATGTTATTTTCTTGCAAATTGTTTCAGTATTATTTTTCCAAGACAAATGCTGGTCAACAGTCATTCCAAGAGTTTTGCAATCATATACTTGTTTAACTGGTTTGTTTTCTATGATAATGTTTGGTTGTTTATTTGAGATACTTTTTATCATTGGTTTAGATCCAATTAATATAA